AATTCAGATGCACTCTGCAAACGTTTTTTATTGAAACTTTAATTGTTCCGGCCTATCCACCTTACCTGTTGAATACCACATCTAAATAAGTACGACAACCTGTTACTGATACTTGCAATCTTGAATTTGTATATACTTGAAAAAGGTGATTCGTTCTCTCAAAAGTCGATATGAAATACTATTTTTATGTAATGTGAAACTAAATTAATGTTATGGTGTTAAACACCAAAAGCTAATGAAGAGGTAAAATCAATATGTCAATACAATTTGTGATAAAACATTTAGACCTATTGAGTCCAATGCTTTGCCGGCTTAAAGACGTAATATAGGAATATCTTAAAAGAAAATCATAAACTTGCACCTTACGAAACGAAGCTATGCATATATTCACCACAGTTAACCACACTATCGAAGAACGATGTTCCAGGACCGGTACTTCCCTAGAACTACTTCCTTCGTCGTCGATCGTGCCCCGTTTAAATAGCGATGGTTATGGGTTATTGTTTGACTCAAACAAACGATGATCTAAAAAAAACCACATTTTGATACTGTTTTGAGAATTTCCAAATATGTATATTCTGCACTTTTGTCGTACATTTAACAAAGCACAGGTTGGTCTGCATATGATTAATTTAAATTAATCCCAGAACGAGAAAAGTAAGAAGAGATATTGCATTTCTTTTCTTTTTTTAGATTCTAAAGTAGCATAACGTTTTCACTGAGAACACTGTAACGACCTCACCTTTGTTATTAGCCTGTAATGAAATATGTTCAGCTGGTATCACAAAGCTCTGGCTTAACAATCCCATTGTGTTTTCAATATTCTTCCCAGTATAGCACTGAGTATAGTAAGCTGTATCATTCTTTAGCTTAACACTACAGTGCGCTGGTCATGCATCACTGAACACATTTTTATGAAAACACATATCATATCAATCATATTTGAACTTCTAGACCTCGTGTGACAATATTTATATATTAACTTTAATAAAGATTTTGTGTAATATATTAATACCGTAATGTCCAAAGAAATCAGATTATTCAGGAATATTAAATGAGGAGCAAATGCCTGAAACCCACATATAAGAATGAGGGCGTTATTAAATGTATACTACATATGTTTAATGGCGTTATTGTGTTTATATGTGGGTTTTACCAATGTACTCCTCAAACCTTCAATGTGGAAAAAGCTCAAAAATATCTAACTGTTCAAAGAAAATCACGAAAGAAGAACAATGTTATTTTACTCATGTAGAGTGCTTTCAACATAAAACCAATTTCCGAACTTAAAGAATATTCTTATCTTTTCTGCATGTAGATAGTTATATTAAATATATTTTACTAATTATTTGAACATAAAATTCACCTGTACGCATTATAAAGCTATTTACGTATCAAACTGATGCCAAGTTAAGCAGAAAAAGCCGGTAGATATGCGCTTAAAACTATGACATACTGACTTAATTAGGTCATCTGTTAACCTAATTACCATTGTCTTTTTAATGATTTAATTACTATTTTCTTCGTTTTTCTGAGGAACTTTTAGTTGTGCAGTTATTTCAGTATTACCCAAAATTAAGCTTATTTGACCTAAATGACCTTGAAAAATTACCTTAAACGTGAAACGTCAGGGAAGGTCCACATTTACCCTAATCCTCCTGTAATGTAGACATGCTTTATAATGGGTGCTTATTTTTAACATAACACGACATCACAATTTTTTAGCTCATTGGCAAGTCAACTATGGTGATGTCGTCTCGTACCCCCAGTGGGTCAGCTGTAAGTCTGTGGACTTACAATGCTAAAAGTAAGTTATTGATACCTGTGGTGGACACATCACAGATAGCCCATTGTGTAGCTTTGTGCGTAACTACAAACAAACATCGTCTCACAACTATGATAGAAAGTAAAAATGGAGAGAGAAAATAGAATTTGCTGCTTATGAACTCATGTAATAATAATAATTTGTTATTTATGAACTCATGTAATGATAATAATTTGTTATTTATGAACTCATGTAATGATAATTTGTTATTTATGAACTCATGTAATAATGATTTCTTATTTATGAATACATATAATGATAATTTGTTATTTATGAACTCATGTAATGATAATTTGTTATTTATGAAATCATGGAATGATAATTTGTCATTTATGAACTCATGTAATAATGATTTGTTATTTATGAATACATATGATGATAATTTGTTATTTATGAACTCATGTAATGATTTCATAAATAACAAATTATCATTCCATGACTTCATAAATGACAAATTATCATTCCATGAGTTCATAAATGACAAATTATCATTCCATGACTTCATAAATGACAAATTATCATTCCATGAGTTCATAAATGACAAATTATTATTACATGAGGATTTGTTATTTATGAATACATATGATAATAATTTGTCATTTATGAACTCATGGAATGATAATTTGTCATTTATGAACTCATGGAATGATAATTTGTCATTTATGAAGTCATGGAATGATAATTTGCTTGATGAATTCCATTCTTTATTACAGACTTCATCTTATATAGCATCTTGGGATTAAGGTATATTCCCATGTACTTGACTGAAGGACTAAACAAAACAGAGTTAGTATTGCTCTAAAAACAACTAAAGTAGGTCAGTTCTAAATAACTTACGTAAGTTTGTTTCCCAGTTTCAGTAAAGACAAAAGGTAGCAAATGAAGCTTTATGATTACACGGCGAATAGTATAAGAAAGATGTATTCAGTTAGAGCAAGTTTATGATTTTGTAATTGTAATATATAAATATTATTGATCGGAAGGCCTACATTGTGGATTACATTCGAATATGAGATTTAATTATATAACAAGTTTTGAGTAATTTGCGTTTCTTGTCTCCGAAGAACAAATACCTATGTGTGTGTATATATGTATGTTTGAATTATTCTAATTGAATACAACATTCCCAGATGGATTGCACTTTGTATACATGATGAAGAGAAACCATTTATCGACACAATACTCCCAGATGGATTACGCCCTGGAATTACACAATGAAGAGAACCCGTTTAACCTCAAGGTATTCACAGATGGATTACGCCCTGGAATTACACAATGAAGAGAACCCGTTTAACCTCAAGGTATTCACAGATGGATTACGCCCTGTAATTACACAATGAAGAGAACCCGTTTAACCTCACAGTATTCACAGATGGATTACACCCTGTAATTACACAATGAAGAGAACCCGTTTAACCTCACAGTATTCACAGATGGATTACACCCTGTAATTACACAATGAAGAGAACCCGTTTAACCTCAGGGTATTCACAGATGGATTACACCCTGTAATTACACAATGAAGAGAAACCGTTTAACCTCACGGTATTCACAGATGGATTACACCATGTAATTACATGATGAAGAGAAACCGTTTAATGACACAATATTCCTAGGCGAATTAAGACTTGTAATTCTATTCATGATCAATAAAAAAACTAACTTAACGACCAAACATTTCCGGATAGATTAAGTCTTAGTATTTTCGGACATTTATTTGTTTTTACAATTAAAAGGAATACAACGTTAAAATCCTAAAGATGGTGTCATGGAACACTGAAAAACATATGCAGTCTTTTTTAGGGCAAGTCTCTGTTTTTAATAATTATTTATTGTGTAATTATTTTAACGTTGTATTCCTTGAAATCACAATAACTTACATTCGTTTTTGTAAATAGATGTAAGTTATTGTAAGAGTCGTTTTAAATCATTTGTCATGTTTGGTCGATAGCTAATTTCATTTTTAGTTGATTTTAAGTTTTGCTGTCGTTTCTAGTTGCATCTAATTTTGAAATAAGTAAATATCTTACAATGAGGTTTCATGTTACACGGTTCCTCTATACGATGAACAGGTCTCTTACGTCATATCAGGTTATCCATAAGCTGACGGGTTTCAAACAGCAGGCGTACGCGAGCGTTCTCGCTTAAACAAACTGCTTTTACTTTTCAACTTTGCCTAACATCATTTCTCTTTTACGTCAGCTTTGTAAGATATTTTATAATTCTTTTTACTGCAACCTAGACAGTTAAACATTTTATATGTCCACATTAAGGATTTGGGATCTTATTTCAAGATAGTGTTACATAACAGTGTTTTTATCGACACTTAACATGTCCTTCTCCGTTTTATAAGCGTATCCATATCAATCTAGTTTTCTCAGTTCTGATGGAAGTTAAGGCTTTATCTAGAAATATTTAGTCGTGCATACAATGAGTAAAGTGTCTGTCTCCACGTTGTTCAAAATTACTCGTGAATTCAAATCTAGCTTTCTTTTGCAGCTACTATGTGTTGGTATTTTATGGATTTCTTGAACTTATCGAGCAGCCAAAAGATATTTTAAATCGTACTTGTAATTAATGTGTTCACTAGCAAATAATGAATAAAAATATCCCATGAAAATGTATTTTTAACACTATTTGCAATTAAGCGAGAAAAGAACAATTTATCTTTATGTATTTCAGCGCTTATAATACATAGATATTTCTAAAATATTCAAACCTTCTTTTGATAGGCCTTAAAATATCTGAAGACAGGTGACAAAAGTTAAAATTATTTTTAACGAATTCTGTATTTAACGAAATCCAGACGCCTCTTTTGTAGTGTGTGTTTCATTTTATTCTATCTATTATAATTTAATCTTAATGTGTTTAAAATTTTAAAAGAAGATATCTCATGTCAAAATGAATCATTTTATTTGCAGCTTTTTAAAATGTCATAGATTTTCAATCAACTTACTTATGTTAAAAACTGTCAGCTTTCCTTATAAACACTACAATTCACATTATTACTAAAATCAAAAACAGCATATTTTATATTATTTCATCTTGCTGTATACCGTCTTTAAATTTGTGTCTGTCAATAATAATCACATCAAAATCACAATAACTTACATTCGTTTTGTCAGTAGTCAGAACACAATAAAGTTACAATAACTTAAACAACCAGAAGCAAAAATAAGAGACAAATCTAATCCTTTTTATTATAGTGAATATAGAATATTCACATGAACTACAGACAGATAATCTAATATGATTACACAGCATATTCTATACAATAATACAATATATACAATGTTACTGAACGATTAATCTCCAAACCTTTCAACCTGAAAAAAAAAACATGAAAATGTTTTTACTTGAAATTATAAATCAGCATAATGGAGATCAGTATGGTGGATTACATCACAAAAAATCGTTTTTGTTTATTTCATTGCCTAATCAAGTTCACAAGAATATCGTATACAACTAACACTGAATTTAACAAAAATAATTATAACACGGAATGCCATATACTATTTTGTGTATTATAATTCAAACATAGAATGTACCCAAAAAAGTAACTCCACTCAAGAGAAGCTTGTATAAAAATAATCATTACAGCTACGTCGTAGTTGTTGAAAAAGTATAAGGTCAAATTACAAACAATGTTATGGTAAACATATAAGAATAACAAGTTGGAGAGATGAAATACGGTACAGTGAAACTTGCATTGGATGTGGTCTCTAGTTTTAATGTTATCGTTTTCATTTTAAAGTTCTCAGTTCTTTTTTTGTTTTTGACGTTGTCCGATATATATATATTACACAAGCTTTTTTGGATGTATGAAAGATGTTAAGATGTATCTCCTACGACCATGGCGAGTACGTTTGAAAAGTGAAAGGTTTATGCGTATTATTTCGAGTAGTATGAGAAACAACGTGGGATTTGCAGCATGAAATATAGGTAAAACGTGTATAGGAGTTTTGGGATTCTTATAGCTTTAGTTGAAAAATAACTAAATAGTTATTGTAGTTAGAAAAGTACTTTAATCATTTCCTTCCATCTGTTCACCACAGACCAAGAGACACCGTCTGGCGAATAGTAAATAAAATTCCACATTTTGATCGAAAGCTACTGTAACACTTTCTGTGTTATTAATAGTGAAATAATTAGACGAAATAGATTAGAAAACACTTAATATGTTACCTTTCAAACCAGGTGCAAAAGGTTTTATTATAGGGCTCTAAAACTCATAATTATAGTGCAATAAATTATTAATTAGCGACTAATGAAATCGGTAATATTTCTTAAAATTGAACCAAAAACTCTGATACATGAATAAAAGAAGGTAAAAGTTTGTTTTTTTCTTTTTTAATTCTGATAAATTGTTTACTTTCTAAGGTGTAATATTCTTACCACATTTTGGATTGTTTCTACACTTTCGACGTTGTACAAGCTTATTAGGGCACCTTTTCCCTCCATTTTGTGGATATATCTCAATCCTTCTACGACGTTCTTTACGTGCCTTTCCACAGGTGGCACTGCAGGAACTAAATTCAGACCATTCTGATACTTCGCAGTCAACTATGAGCTTGTTGCTGGAGTCGTATGTTCTTGTAGATAAAGCGGTAAGCGTGCTCAGAGGAACTGGAAATTAAATATAATCTAAACGAGAAGCCATAGATTCATACATGGTACATTTAACTATTAATATTCAATAACATATTTACTTTTCATGCACATAAGAAAAATAGTGCAATGTAGGCAATTTACAAAACATTAACGGAAAATATTTCATATGTATATTCCACAAACTTAAAATACCAAATAAATAATAAATAAATAAGACAGTATAGTGCAACGTTCAAACATGTCAAAATGAATTATAAATTTCCAGAAAGCCTATTTAGAATGCTGTAGAAGGCAAAATCGCAATTTCATATATGAAAACACAGAACCAAAAGTCATCCATTTATCAACATAATTTCACTCACCACACAGAACTCTATTTTTAAGATGAGTAACGGTGTTACCAGTTTTGTACAGATAATACCGCAACGACGGAGTCAGAAAGTGGAGAGAATCTAGAGTACAAGAAAGAATCGCACATTGTACATTTCGTTTGATCAGTCAAAAGTTCTAATAATAAAATATTACGTACTATCATTTGCATTTAATAACGGAGATACTTTTCACACAAAGTGGTAAAACAGTACTAATATTATAAAATTTCACAATAACAGTGCTTCAGAATGTGAAACAATGTGAATAGTCTAAACTCCATGTGTGTGTGTGTTTCAGAAATGTACACAGTACTGATGTTCTGAACTTTCAAAACGAAAGTGTTCCAGAGGGTAAAACAATACCACTATGTTAAACTTTCACAATAAGAATGCTTCACAAGATGAAACAGTGTTAATGGTCTAAACTTTTTCAATGTGTGAACTAATGTTCTAAACTTTCAAAATCAATGTTTTAGAACATAACTTTTAGTCTTCAAAACTTTGATTAAGGTTTAGAATTGGAAGTGAAAAACACAAAATTACAATTCAATTATCAGTTTTATAATTGTTAATGCAAATGAATTAAACATTCCATATTAATGTTTAATAAATATTAAAGAACGTTACACTTCTGTTCCAGCGTTATTATATACAACAGAAACACAATAATGAATCAATAAATAGATAGATGGAGGGGAAAAAGAATGACATAAATAGAAAGGGAAGAACAACACCTGTAAAGTATCGCATTCACACCTAATATAGGTCAAATTAAAACATAACTTACAATATCGTTGTAATGAACGTAAGGGTTATGTACATAATAAAGTATGTTAATTTCTCCACTGCTGAACACACTGTCCAATCAGGTCATTCGATACAATAGCATGAAACAATAGTTTTAAACGAACCTAAGACTCAAAATGAATTGAATATTAGGAATCAACTGAAAATGTGAGCTGTATATAATTCTTTGTTAAATAGGAATGAAGGGTTAGCTAGTACTAACATACATATAGCTTTGGAAAGAAATATTGATGTGTTATGTATAGTATTCATACCACTCTTAAAGATTACAATGAGTTAAATCCTCCCCTTGTAAAGATACCCGCTTGTCATTTATGTTTCTACTCCTGGTGATGGCAGAGTAAAGCTACCGAATCATGTATAGTATTTTAATGTTGTTCGCCCACCAAATAAAGTTTTTTATTGTGCATTTTCAATTTTGTTCACAAGTTACCTCGATTGAATAATCTGTCAATCGAATATAAAAAAAGCAATTCGTACAAATTTTAGCTTTTGTTTTAATCTGGACCTCTTCTGTTTATTTGAATGATTGAGGTTTATATCTCACATCATAGTTTGAATGTGTGCGTGCATGTGTTAGCGCGCGCAATATATATATGTAAAGAAATACTACAATCCTAGAAATTTGTATTTATCTTCTTTATTAGATTTTCTACCGTTTTCGTGACTCAAGAAAAATCTTCAAGATGTAATTTTAAAGATAAACAATGATAAGAACATCACAACTACCACTTTCTAACTAAACATAAATAACCTTAATATATTTCAAAATTTGGAAGAAATAAAATAATATTCGAATACATTAAAATGCTCAAAAATAAATTCGTTTAAGTTAATTCATAATTATTAACAAGTTATTACAACACATACCCTATTACTTACTTTCATGTCCTTTTTGTGATTCCTAGTAATAGTTTTATCGTTGCACAATTCCAACTTACCTTATTCAAATAACGATACTTCTGCCCCTTTTGTCTTTATCTATTTAAAGTAGTCTTAAAAATATTTTTCTATGGAAGATATTTTCAGTTGTAAAGAAAATGAACTGTAGTTTATATAATTTGGTTATAATAAAACTACAAAAACAATAAAGAAAAATGACAAATGTATATTTTTCATTAATAATTTATTTAATTGCAATTTTAGAAGTGTAATATGTCTTTGGAACGCGTATATTGTAATGGATTCTATGGTGGTGAAACAGATAATTCAAGATTAAGGCTGAGTTTGCATACATTCTATGTTAGACTTTCCTACAAAAAAAACATACACTAGCAAATATATTAATTAATGTATTTTGAGCATTCTGAAAGAACAGCATTTTTATGCTTTCCTTCTTGGACATGTAAATTAAAACATAAAAAATATTTGATTATTTTTGGCACCACTTTAAATAGACAGAAGTAATAGAGCAATAGTAACAGTAGTTGAGTAAGGTTAATTATAACTGTACAACTGTAAAAACTGTTACAACAAATTCCAAAAAGGACAATAAGATAAGATGTATATTTTGTATTAAGTTGTTAATGATTAGGGAAATAAACTTCTTGTTTATAATAACAAGTAAAAGTATAATTAAAATGAAGTTTAAGCAGAAGAAAAATGATAAAATAATATAACAAAGCGAAACTATATTTGATTTATATGAGGACTGTATTTTACGCTTGTGCATTTTGAAAAATATGTATTCAATTCGGCTTATTTATGTTTAGTTGAAAAGTGGTATCGCAAAGTTTATTTATTATAAATTATCTGTAAAATTACATCCTAAAGAGTGACCTTTGAAGGCAGGAAGCCAGTAGAAGAAACTAATAAAGAAGAAAAAACAGAAGCGTTCAAGAACTGCATTGTTTTGTTACTTGTATCCATAGTCTGATTTGCGCTTCATTAAAAACAGCCTGATTTGCGCTTCATTAAAAACAGCCTGATTTGTGGTTTATTAAATCATTTTGACTTGTGGTTCATTAAATCATTTTGACTTGTGGTTCATTAAACCGTCTGATTTGGGGTTCATTAAACCTGTATGATTTGCGATTTATTAAAACAGTCTGATTTGGGGCTCATTAAATGAGTTTGTCTTGTGGTTCATTAAACCAGTCTGATAATGTGCTTTAATTAATATGCCTGATTTGTGGTTTATTTGTATCCACAGGTGGAAACTTGTGTGTTCTTTGGCTATGTATGTATATAATGGATTTTGTTGAAAATAACATTTCTTTTAAAAACGTTACCGGACTATGTACCACACACAGCAGTGTGCTTCGATTACTTAAATTTGCTGATTATTTACTCTAAGAAAAACTGATTTTATATACGTAAGTAAGTTCATGATATACCTTTCAACACATTTTCACATATTTTTTTGCAGTCGTTATAGCGACGAAAATTGTTCTTGTTGCCACGGCAACCACCGTAAACAAACTGAATGCAAGCTTGCTTGGTGGTGTCGAAATACCAACGTTTAAACAATCCACGACAGGGGCCAACATCCTTTGGCAGAATGCAGACTTCTGGAATTATTGGAATAGCTTTTTTTGAAAAGATAAAAAACGATTACATATTAGAAGTGTGTTTTAGTTCCACAAAACTAGGGTTAAAATATTTCCCTTTTCATAACTTTACAAAAGAGCTGAAGCATCTTTTTCATCATTTAGTAAAAGTTTATAGATAATTTACGTGTGGACAACTTAAGAAATATAAAGTTCATCAACTTTACCTATTCGGTTATGGTGTTCTTCGTGAACTAAAACTTTCAAGCTAGCCTTGAAAAGTCACATTACGAACCAAAATTATATCAAATATTACAAAAGAAAGATATTTGACTATCTTACTCAACGTACATCATGATGAGTTAACATTATTATTTACCTTTAGCGTTTGAAAGTTGAGAAAAACATGGCGGCTTGTCTTCTCCGCAAGTGGTTTTCTGCATCAGATCTTGGTTACACGTGTCTGATTCCGAAGGGTTCAGATAGAGTCGGGTGCGGAACTTTATCCCTTTACCACATGAAGTGGTACAGGGCGACCACTCAGACCACTGAATTACCGAACACTTTGGATTCATCTAAAAAAAAACAAAAAAATCTGTGGAATGTAGGATTTACTTGAAGAATTAAGACAGTGAATTTTTTAAAAAATATCATATAATAATATTGTAAAATGTGATTAATTCTGAAGTTGAATATAATCACGTATAATGAATTTTTGAATATAATAACAATCTTGTTTTTGTTTTTATAACGCATAGCGACACAATGGGCTATCTCCGCTTTTTCCACCGCGAGAATCGATCCCCAGATTTTAGCGTTGCAAGCTCGTAAATTTATTGCTGACCCACCGGAAGACAATATCAGTGTTACTAGTAAACATTTAAGCTAACTTAAAGAGTAATATTATTACTGTGAAATTAATATTGTGGAAGTTCATCTGAAAAGAAAAGTTGCTGATAAAGATCTTCACTGAAATCTCCAACAATTCTGTGCCCACCGCAAATATCAAGTTCCACTTTGTAGCGTTATAAGCTCGCAAGTTAACAGCTTGCAACAAAAAAAGCATTTTCTATAGTTTATCACGCACTCTTCAAAATTCTTATATTTATTTGTTTGTTAGGATGTGATACTGACTTTAATACATTGGCTAACTAAATACTCTTTCTGCAAATTTGTAAATTATTTTTACACCAATTTCATAGTTATTTCTTACGATTAAACATGTTTAATTTAGCAATTATGCAAAAGTCCAAATGAATATTTCTGAATTCTTATCCCTACAAGTTCAAATATCTCATGGCATTCCACGACTTAGCCAAGTTATATATATATATATATGTGTGTGTTTGTATGAATAATAATCGTGGCTTGCACTATATCACATATACATATCACTAAAACGATCCCCTGGTGGTCAGCAGTAAATTTACAGACTTACAATGCTAAAATACACATCATCACCTAAAAGGGCTAAAATCTTCATATTAGTTGACTATGTTATTTCATAAGTTTGTTGTGTTTTAAAATGTTTATTCGTTAAATGTTTATCCTAACATTATCGAATTTGAATATATTAGTTTTGGTCAATAAATATCACTAGGAATTTTCTATATGAGGTTTTTATGGATAAGTTAAGCACTAGACAGTTTGTGTGTGAGTTCATCTGTTTATACAATAACCTTCTTTGTTTTGAGTGCAAATTATTTGATCAATGTTGCTGTAAAAAAGTTTGAAAAGCAGAATAATCAGCAAAAAAATCGAGTTTTTATGAACTAAGATTTAGTATCTACCGAGTTTACCTTAATCTTAACATTTTAACGATTGGATAACAAATACAGCCATTTATGTTGCTTTCATACAGTTGTGTTTTGTTTGCTTGTTTTTACATGAAGAAATGAACGAAATATTCATAACGTAGTTCGGATACTGTCGAACCTATGAAATAGGAATTACCTCACAGCTTTGGGATTCTACACAGGACCGTTGTTCCAACAGCTCTTCCTGACAAACTTTGCGAGCATCGTGATTCAGGTAGTATCTACGACGAGATCGTGAACCTATTCCACACGTCACGCTACATGTTGTCCAATCAGTCCAATCACTCGTTTTACAACTCACGTTCCTGTTGGTATTTAATGGAGTTTAAATTTATTAAATGTTTAAGATGTCATATACAATAATAGCTACTAAAGGTTATATTTATTAAATGTTTAAGATGTCATATACAATAATAGCTACTAAAGGTTATATTTATTAAATGTTTAAGATGTCATATACAATAATAGCTACTAAAGGTTATATTTATTAAATGTTTAAGATGTGATATATTAGGTCAGGGGTTCCCAAACTTTTTAGAATCGCGACCCACTATTCATGACCACAGCTTATGGCGACCCACTCAAATTCACTGGGCAAAACATATGAAATAATATAAAAAATATTATTTATTCATATTCACGTATTTCAATTACATTTAAAAATGCTCACGTATTTTCAATAACATTTCCAGAACTTATAAATGCTATCTAATTGATTAATAATGAGGCGTGTGTGAAGGATGTGCTTGTTTCTTGTTACTGCCAAGAATGGCATTGACATCAACATCAATGTGGGTAAGTTTCAGGC